TAAGTCTAGACATTAATAGACATTTACATTTAGAATGAACTTAGAGCAAAAAGAACCCCATCAGGAGACTGAGAAAGAACAGCTAAGAAGCTGGAATGAACATTACAAGGAGCAGAAGAACAATATATAAAACACACTGTAACAGCTAGACATCTCAATTCTAGAGATTTACCGTGGACCTTAAGTCTGTCCTACTTCACCTCCCTGTGTCTCTCTAAAAGAAAAGAGACTGGTGCTTTGCATTATTGCTCACAGAGCAAATATATTAGAAGCGTTTGATTATTATTATTATGGATAAATTACCTGAACTCATCGAAGTAATTTTATAAATAGAATGTGCTTACAGAATGAAAGCAATAATTGTAACAAACCCATGCTCTGAGTTTGATTTAAAAACCAGTGGGACATCTGCTTGGCTGCTACCATAATTGGCTACCAGCCTGTTGTTTTGTTCTGCTAGAAGAGGGACCTTATGTCCTGTGGATATTATTTGCTCTTGGTCCAGGGGGACCTAAGTTTCCATTAGATTTCAAGTTCTGTACACATAGCCAAATGTGTGTAAAGCTCTTGCAACATTTCTTTAAATCAGTCTTTGTGTTTTTCTTGGTGTTGTTCAAGTACTGGGTTTCTTGACTTCCCTGTGATTCTTGATCTACAAGATTTATCTTCTTGGTGCTATCTTTAAAGGTGCCATTTAGCTTGTTGTACATTGTGAAGGCTTTCTATTAGAACCAAACCAAACAATTCCACAGTCCTCCTCAGTACTGTCGAGGGATATATGTATAAATGGCTAAGTATTCTACAGCCAAGAACCTGTGCTAAAAATATTAGCTTATAGGCTACAAAAATTCCCTCATATACCTAAAAAATCTCTAGATTACTTATACTATTTATTATAATGTGAATAAAAAGTAAATTTCTGAATTACTTAGAGGTAATGACAAGAAAATGTCTGTATATTTTCAATACAGATTCAATTATTATTCAAATGCTTTTTATGTGGTGTTGGTTCAGTTGGCAGTTAGACACTGATAGCACCAAGGATTGATACTCTCATGTTTCAACATCACTATTCACTTGTGTTCTCATCTGACTCAGTTCGACTTACTTGCTTCTTCCTTTATTCTCATCTCCATCCATAAAGCAGTCTTTCAATGCTTGATCTGGGCCAGCCACCATAGCTCAGTGTGTTCATGGTTACCCAAGGAAAAAGACTTCTACAATTCCATATAAGACTTCTTAAATTAACCTCAGACTTTTACTCACACCAGCACACAATTGAAAACCTATTTTTATCTTCAAAATACATTTTTGAGAAAAAAAATCTGTTTATGTTCCCTGTTGTTCTTGGACCCACTTTTCACCAAGTCACCATTCCATTCATCAACAGCTGCTTTTCTGGCTTCTTTCCTCCCATTTCTACCTCTCTTTATCCATCAGCTTTGCTATTATAGACTTTTTCATTGCAACTGAGATTTCATTATGCATTTTTCAGAGTACTTCAAAAGTCTAGATTACTTCAGAAGCTTCTTCTTCTAGGGTAGGAATAGTCCCTACAGACCCCTGTGACATCTCTTCTTCCTCCTTCCTGTTCTCTCCCATCCTGATTTTCCTTTCTGCTTTTAGGTGTTTGCATCTGCCATGCTCCTTTTGCTCTGTGGTTCACTGTAGTTTCTGCCTTTGTTTTTAAATACTTTCTTCATTGTTTGATCATTAATACCTATTTACTTTTATACTTCAGTTCATCTCATTCCTGTGTACACAAATACAAAATATCCATATATAGATGTGCATTCACTAAATAATAAAATAGATGCACAAACTTTGACACCTAATTTAATCACATAAAGTAATACATTCATGTGTACAGAATCTTAATATAGCTTGCTACTGAGTCAAAGAATAAATGACCACCCATTTATAAGAAGGAAAAATGTTTCTTTGGGTTTTGCTGTGTTATGATAATTGTTGGGGAGCCTTTTGTATCAGTGAAGATAATAAAGGAAGGGAGGATTAAATGGATTATGAAAGTTATTGTCAATTGTAAGTTTCTGGAAAATACTTAAGAGAACTTAATAGAAATTTATCTTAGTAGTATGGATTTCCTTCAGGCTCCATTCTTAATAGTTAGCAAATGGGAAGCAATTTCTTCTAAATTCAATACTTTACAAATATGTTACTGTAATTTTTAAATGTAAGCATAAGTTGTATGTTAATCATAGTGTGATCCTTACAACACATGTTTTGTAGAATGACTGAATCTACCTATTTACTATGTATGCTACCATGTGTGTAGGAAAACTATTTAACTTCTTTTTAAACATTTTCCTAGGAAAAAAGGCTTTGAAGTCAGTTTTATGACATACATTGAAAATGAGACAAGAGAATTTCTATGAGTTTGAGGCAAACCCGGTTAACATAGTGAGCTCTGGCTAGCACAAGCTATAGCATGAGATGAGATACTGTTTCCAAATTATGCCCCTTCAACCAAGGAAAGAATTAAGTTTATTGAGGGAGTCACAACAAAACCTTCACCTTAATTTGATGTTTAGAAAAAAGACATTACACATGGTAGATTTGAGAACAAGTGAAGCAGAGAAATGTAAAGCAAAACATTCATCACAATCTCCTTCAAGAAACTGTTCCTTGGGAAGGATGGCTTGGAGTGACACCATTTATTCCATGCTAACATGGGAAAAAGAACTACAGAAAATCCCAGGAAGAATTTGGTGATACACTTAGTTATAAATTATCCATTAAATGTCTTTCTGACCCTATGGTCAAGCTAAGCAAGCTCATAGTTATACAAGGATGTTTCCCAAAAATGTTTTTCTGAAACTTAAGTTAGCAAGGTTAATGTTTAAGTGTTTCAGTGACAATTACTCATTGTTTTCAAGTGGGTCAAGGAGTTCATGCCAATTTTTCCCTAGAAGGCCACACACTGTTCCTTCCCTGTTACATTACTGAGCCAAGGATTCAAAACAGTTCACCATGAACTCTCAAACAATGGGCAAGGAAATACAAAGGATTTTTATAATTTAAAATTTTGGCTTATCTGAAATGATTTTGAAAATGATTGTATTATAAGTTTATATATTCTAAATATATCCAGTCTGATATATTGATTAATGACCAAGTGAACTTCATTAATTGTTAATGCTGGCCTAGTAGAAGAAGAATGCATCTAAAAGAAAGAAAATCACTAGGGTAGGAAAGAGAACATAAATGCTACTGCATTTTCAAAACTGGAGTGACATTTTAGAAGCTTGATGAATTTCATTGCTTCCTTGGAGTAAGATTTTCAGACAGAAGTGAAACCATGATGATGTCTTATAAGGAATGTTCTCTCAGCAGCTGCTATTAGTGGGATGGTTGTTAACTGAACTTTAAATCTGAATGTCTAGCAGCTATTATGAATTGCTGCAAGGCTCACTAGATTATTCCCAACTGTCTTCTTCAATTGAAAAAAAAAGGAGTAGAGTAGTTTTAAGTCTAAATGGTAGGCATCTTATACACAAAACCATATTTTCTATAGTAATGAAAGAGCCATATTGTGTTATATTTGAGAATATATGGTTCAAACTTCATGTAGCAGGTTCTTCCTGGTATTAAGAAAGTAAGCCACTGCAGTCATTACCACTTGGTTACCCCTCCCATCTATCACCTATCAGAACTCAGATTGCACTGGAGCTGCTGTTACCAGAACTGCCCCTCCACATCCTAGGTCAGAGTCTTACACAAGCTGTCAGGAGGAAAGACACACCAATGAAAGATTACCCTGTACAACCAGGAATTACAGTCTGTCTTTGTGTGTGTGTTCAGACACACTGCTTCTGGTGATTTCCCGCTGTTTGAGCAATTCTCCCTGAGGGACATTTCTATGTTTTCCCTAATTCTGCCTAAACAAAAATAAATAAATAAATAAATAAATAAATAGATAAGTAAATGAGTAAATAAATAAATAAATACAAACAATCAAACCTTGGAATTGCTCATAGAATGGCTACTTTGATACAAGTAAAGGGCAGGTGAAATTAGTGGTTGACCTGTAACTATGATATAGTCAAAATTATATAGGTTAGACATTCAGATGAACCCCTTTTTAGCACTGTCAATATTTATATATTTCAATTTATTTTCTTTTCTGTAGAATGGACTTATAACTATTAAGTTGATTGGAAGGGCTCATTTGGGACAAGGAACTGAAATAATTGTATCCACACACAGCAAAGTACCAGGCACATGGATATCTCCACTCATGAGAGCTGTCACTGAAATATTGCAGAGAGTACTGTTATTGATGATTTGACAAAGTGGAGGGTAAGTGTTATTTGTTACAGGAGGTTTCGCAAAACATGGAACTATGCCTTGTCTTTCCCCTTTAGTACCTTTCTTGCCATCTAAAAAGAAACAGCAGTGTCCTGTTTGATTTTGTTGGTCTTTCTTGGTTTCTCTGTTTGTTTAACTATGGAGAAATTATTAATACATGGATTATTTACGACACCAGTGATGTATTGCTAAAAACATGCCACCTGTTATTGGAGTTTAACTTTAATCACAGGATTTACTCAGATTGAGGGTCTAGCTTTATTCATGTACCTACCTGTACATGAATACCTGTAGTATTAAGCCAAATTCATTCTAAACCAACTGCAGAAAGCAACCATTCAAAAGATTTATTTTCTTTATTAAGAATTTTTTTATTCATTTTACATACCAACCACAAATCCCCTTCTCTTCCATCCTCCTGCTCCCTGTACCCAGCCTATCCCCCCAAACCACCCCCCATTCCCTCCACCAAAAACATAAGGCCTCCTATGGGCAGTCAGCAAAGCCTGGTACATTCTGTTGAGGCAGGACCAAGCCCCTCCCCCTGCATCAAGATTTTAAATAACAGTAATTTAAACCTAAACACCACAGTAATGTGTAGCACACTCTTACTCATTATTTAAGTTAAACAAGAATGACCAAACTATAACTGAAAACAAGGAAAAACTTACTAAGAAAGCTTGCCACGTAGACATGCAGTTTAGGCCGATATGTAATAGCTTCCACAAGTGGCTGGAGCAAAACTCTGTTGATTAAACCAGAGTGAACTGCTGTTGTGCTGTTTTACACTTGGCCAGGAAAGGAGTCCAAGATTATCTGTATCAGAGCAAATGATAATCACAAGACGAAAACTGACTAGTAATCACAGATCATTTTGAATTTATGTGTTTCATAAGCACAGCAACTATTTCTTCAGGGACATAACAAGGTTTCAGCAGGAAGAGGATTAAGGGTTTTATTTACCTGAACTGAGGCACAAAATGAGGGCGATTTTTCACATTAGCTTTCATTTCGTTTGGCTCAGGTGTCAGAGTCCTATATTTATCTCCTCTTAGGCATGAGTCTGAAGTGCTGGAATGCTCGGGATGTCAATGGCTGTCAGATGTCAGGATAGCCTAGAAGACAAATGAATGGCTGAGACCCTGTGCCTCCTCCCAGAGTTCTCAGCTGCTGGGCTGTGGAATTGGTATGTTTACTTTCTGTGTCTCCTTCAACGGTCTCCCTGAAGCAAGTTTTAAAATGCTGTGACTGGGCAAGCACACTCTTCTAGAAGCTGGTGAGCAGAATTATTTTTATTTAGGAGTGTAACTGTCTGTATCTTTGTAGCTGACGTACTGTTATCTATGAATCAATTATGTGAATCTCTGGGAAGGTGTATGCTATCTGATACCATAATTCAATTTGTAATGATTCTGTTAAGAAGTCTATTTGTAACTAAGAAGATAAAGATATTTTATTTTGGACCCTTAAATTCTAGATTGCCAAATGCTCCAACTCATTCTGTAAGACTTCCCCTATTGAATTTCATATCTCATTTTTAAAGATTATTTGAGGAAGCAAAGTTTTCATCAAATTTTAGTTGAAATTTTTGTTCCTGTATATTTTCAAAATTTATGTTTATGCCTAAATCTTATTTCATATCTTAGTGCAATTTGTTTATCTTTTAGGCCTTTTTAATTTTAATCTTTTGGTTATACTACTCTAAAACCATGAATTAGTTTTTTGCTTCAAGGTTACAAGAATAGTTTTTCAAAATCAGAGTGGAGGCTGAATGGACTTTGTGTACAGGCTCTGAAAATGTTTTCTGGCTTCCAGTCACTACTGATTTAATGCTCAAAAAATAACTGGAAAGATTCCTACTCTTAGCTGGTTAACTCCTAGGAAGAGTAGGAAAGAAGTTTTTCTACACATTAAAGTGTGGATCATTGGTGATCACATAACTTATATTGACCAGTATCCCCCAGTTTGGTTCTTTGTGGGTCAGTGGAAGATTGGATAGCAGATATTTTTCTAAAGGTGTGTTTCACATACAGCAATGCAAATAATTCTAGGGTAGCAACTTTTCATAAAGCACACTTAACAGGATAGTTACTGAGTGACTAAACAGCTGCTTATGCTGAAATGGGAGTTATTCTGACGTTCTGGTCTGTTTCCAAAAGCTTAGGACTGAAGTAGATGAGTTTCTTTACTGGGAAAGTTCACTGACTTCTTGTCCCTGGAGAATGGCTGCTTGGGATGAGGCTTACTTCTGTCTAAGGAATTCTGGCTGACTCTTACAAAGGTGTAGAAGCTTTGTCCCTCTCTGGGAGGGAACTCAAAACTAGGAAGGAATCTGGATCAAATGAAGACAAACAGGCCACCTGCCTTCTTCTCAGGTGAACCTAAATAACAAAAGTGGATTTGTGGATCAGCAAGACTTCTGTGAGCCTGAGAGGAGGAAGGAGAAATATCCCCAAATGATGAACTACACAAGCACTAATTATGTGGAATTGGATCCACTCATAAAAGGCAACAACAACTTTGCCATGGACTGATCTGAGAGTTTAGGAAAGAAATCAAACATCTGAGGAGAGTAAAACAATTTCACCTGGGAAAAGGCAAAACGACAAGAGAACTCAAGAGATGGTTGTTAGGGGGAAAGTGTTTGGGTGCCAGACATCAGAATAGGGCCATTCAGTGAGTGAGAGTCAAAACAAAACACCCCCAGATGATGTCTGTCACTGTGGGTCCCTGTCTCCTGGAGCCATTCTTCATTAAGATGACGACTTAAAAATTGAATCAGACATCCCTAGTATGCGTACATTAACTTCATAGGTATTTCTGTTCACTGGAAAAAGTTACAACATTTAAAATTAAGATTTCCTGAAAATTGAGGGCCTGTGTGGGTTTGCACCAGGTCCTTTGTGTATCTATTGTAGCTTCTGTAGCTTCCATCAGTGTAGTTATGAGGTTCCTGAGCATGCAATGAGTGGACCTGCTTCATGGGCCTTATCTTGGTGCCTTTCTTTCTGCTTGTTGGTTTGGTCCAGTTCCAATGTGTTACCTTTTGTCTTATCTTTGTACTGTAATATATTAATTAGTTATGTTATATTTTAATTATTATTCCTTAGAATCCTGTTTGTTTTCTAATGAGCAACAAAAAGGGACTGGATCTTGATTGGAGAGGAGTTGGGGAGAAATAGGGAAGAGTAGAAGAAGTGGAAACTGTAATCATGATATATTATGTGAGAAAAAATCTATTTCACTAAAAGGGAAAATATTAAGACAAAAATCATTTCTGTAAGTTGAAATAGGAAAATGTGTTTGTGGGTTACTGTGTTTTTCATGATGAGCACTGTTGGGAGAGAAGTTGTAGTGTACATTACTCTTTACACCAGGGGATCTTAAACAGTGTTTAGTCCTGGAAATCCTTCTTTACAAGCAGCTAGTGAAAACAGGAAATAGTCAAGAACCCTAAGTGCACAGGGAATGTAGAAGGAATCATAAGTCAGTAAATAGTTCTACTGTTTCATTAGTTCTGTGTAGAAGTACTGAAAGTAGTTAAGACACTGAAAGCAAGTGTGAAGAGCAGTCTGGTACACATTGTAGTCATCTTTCTTTGCTTGTTTTGAGACAAAAACTCCAATATCCAAAGATGGCTTCCAACTCATTAGGTAGGTAAGGTAGGATGACCTTGAATTTATGATCCTCTTTCTCTGTCTCCCAACTGCTGGGATTACAGATATGGGCTTCCAAGCCTCTTTACATGGTGTTGGCGAACAAACCCAGGGCTTCATGCACAAATGCTAAGTAATTAATCTACCAAGTGAGCCTTGGCCCCATCAATTTTTTTAAGGAGAAGAATAGGGTAAATTCTACTTTGTGTCTTTTACAAAATGGGCCATGTGCAAAAATATGTAGCATTTTTACTTAGGTGCTTTGTAATTCTCTACTAAATAGTTGAAGATGTTTTGTAATGTGCCCAGAGAACTTTGACACAGAAACACTGGCATAGGAAAGAAGAAATGTCAGGAAACTGGCCAAAAAGACAGAAGGGACATACAAGACAACTTGGCTGAATTCACCAAAGACCAGAGCATGATCTACTAGGAAAAGACCGCTTCGCCCTCCAGTGCTTCTAAGGTTTAAAAGTAGAATAAGGACAACTACTACTATTTCTGTCCTTGTTTTGTCTTTTCTTCAAATATGTCAGGTATAAATTTTATGCTCCTGTTAAATGTTTGTAGCAAATTCAAAAAGATATTGGGGCATAGTGGGCAAGTTGTTTTTTGCACTCCCATCAGGAGACCGGGGCAGAAGGATCACTATTACAGGCCACATATCCTGGGTTACATAGTGAAACTGTCTGAACAAGAGAGAGCTACCATCACCACAAAATAGACTATTAATCATCTTGTCATTTTTAAGATGTGATTTAATTAAGATCATCTCAATTTGATTACAACAATTCACTTAGAGATCCATTTTGTCCTTTCTGGAACGTTAGTACCACTCTATACGGAATGTAGACAATGCCATCATAAAGTGCATTTGCTTTGTCTCATCCAGGGAAGTGGAGAAATGATGTAATAAAATCAGCTTATTTGGTACAGTAGTTCCATGGCATAGAACCCCAAGCATTAAATGAGTAAAACAGTCTTTCTAATATGTGACTTATAAGGGAAGCATAAAACAGCAATACATGGTGGAATTATTGTCTTTTAGATTCACCCATTCATTAAATGAATATTTACTATCTGTTCTAGACAGCAGGGAACACTGTTAGACTGTTTTGGCCTCTTATAAGAAAGCAGTATTTTTTTTTTTTTTGAAGTTCTCAGTTTTGTTCATATGGAATAAAACCTTCTGAGGTAATCAATAAACAAAAACAAAGCATTAATCATGAAAACATAGGAAGCATTTGCGAGAATTCTTTCTATGGCTCCCCTAGACAGTGAAACAGTCTGCTGAAGGAAAACATGGATCTAACTGGCAATAGAGATAGTTAGGGAAGTAACAAAAGGAGGGAAGGATGCAGTCATCTGCCTCCCTGCCTGTTCAGATGTACGAGTGCTAGTCAGCTTTGTACAGCAAGGGAAGAGACACAGCTTCATCTAAATAATGTACCAACTAAGACCTGGTCACTGCTTGATGCCAGAGAATTGCATGCACACACATACAAAGATGTGGAGTACTGCTCAGAGTAGGGCTTCTGGCTGAAATAAAAGATCCATAAAGGCAAGGTCCTTTGCAGTCTCACTTGTAAGAATCAGCAGCATTTCAGTGGCAAGCACCCACTGAATAGATTCTTAATTATTTAAAAATATTATAGCTAAAAGCTTTTTAGTCTTAAATGTTCACTGAGGACTGTGATCATAAACTAATCATTTGAATAATCTAAAAACTGGGTTCTTTTATCTCATGTTTCACAACAATTTGAGATATTTCCATTCACATCATCCATAAAGCCTAGAGATCTGTGAAATATTTTTTAATAAAATATGGAATTAGGTGTTATTAAAGATTGTTATTACCCACGTCACTACCCTTAGCCATAGTTTTTGTTTCTAATATGCTGGTTTCTTGTGTTGATGTTTATTCTTTTGCTTCTCAAAATAAAACAAATCATCCACTCAAAAATTAGTTCTAAGATATACTAGAAGAATGCTCTACAATTTTTTCTGTGATTCTTATTGGAAACTTAGTTACCACAAATTCTCCATTGACTCAATCCACAAAGCTCATTCATTTTGCCCAGTAATAATGTCTGACTCTTTTTCTCCACGTGCATGAAAGACCTAGACTGACTTCTGTGTTCAGTTTCCTAGACTATTTTTGCTACGTGTACCTTGCTCAGGATAAAAATCAATGGAAACACTGAGCATAGTATTTCTCATTGTTTGTCCAAAGATTTTCTTGAGGAAAATTATTAACTTTCCTCCTGCCTAGTTTTCACTTTTCTTGCTTTTATTTTAGGAGTGACCACAGTTTGTACAGTTAATGCTCTTTCTGGCCTGGCCACATTTTCCTCGAACATTTTCTGGGTGTAGTGGATGTGGCTGGCTAATTAAAGGGCTCCAGCTATCACCTATTTATTTCATTTCTTGTTTCCTCATCACTCTATTGAAAGAGAACAGAAAGTTTAACCCTTCTGTCTTCTACGCTTCTGTATGTAGCAACCTCGCCCTGTAGCCTATGACAGAGTAGAGCAAAACATTGTGTTTTGCCAACAAACACCAGGAAATGCAAGTATAAGCAAGGGGAAAAAAGATCT